TTCCTCATTAACTCTGCTCAATAGAAGCATATAATATCCCGATTAGGTAGCCGAAACATAGTTTAAACAAAAATAGTAAACAACAGCAAAAGTACTTTTGAGGTATAAAATATTTTCACATACAACATTATCAAATTTAATTTCACAACAATTTCATGAGATAGGTATAATTATTTCCAGTTTGTAGAGAAGGAAACTTAAGATATATTCTAAGTTTAGAGGGATTCCCTTAATATTAAGTGGCAGAGCTATAATCCAAGTTACTTTGACTAATTCCAAGACTGGAGTTCTTTCCCTTAGGAAAAAAGCTGCCCAAACGAAACTGTGTCCCTCTAAGTTAGAGTGGGAAAGATATTATAGATTACTCATCCTTTCACATCATCACACCATCCTCTACCCATGGCACCTGAGTAGTAAGAGTGAATGAGTATGCAGGTGTGGGAAATTGGGATGCAGCACTACATGCTGCCACAGGTTAATATGGGTCTTGGGGTTAGGTAACTGAAAAGGAAAAAAATCCACAAATCACCTCTTTTTTTTTTTTGATTATTTGGTTAAAAAAAAATAGTAGCAGCAATGGCCACACTCTGTCTTGTGTCTGTGTGGAAGAGGGTGATGTCTTAAGCAGCTCTAGAAAACACACACACAAACACAAACACACACAAATGTGTGCATGCATGCATGCTCCCCATAACCTCCTACCAGCTACGACCAAACTGACCCTCACTTCATATGGTCAAATACCTCAACCTCTCTCAGGACTGTGTGTACCAAGCACACAAGGTGTTTCCACCACCTGCTTTTGCCATAAATGACTGCCGAATAAAATAAACACTAATGATTAACTTTTGCTCCCTGGAAGTCACTGAATAAGAAAAAGATATTCCCTAAATAGCCTTTGCGTACAGAGAGTTGACTTTTTCTAAGCTCTCCAAAGATGCTTTAAAATGATTTGCCATTATAAATTAGTCTTGGAGCACACATATATATATAACACTGAAGAGGTCAGTTCTTGGGTTGAAATGTTTACTAATCACACGGATATTTTGGTTCAAAACTTTCCCTGAAAATGTCTGCTTCTATCTATCTTTTGCTTTTGAAACACCTGGAGTATGAACAATGATCAAACTCCCTCAATTCTATGCATCTAGAATCGGCTTTATAGGACCAACTATTATGTACCAGGTTTTTTGCCAGGCACTGGAGACAAACAGGTCATTACAGAAAGAAAGCAAATCAATTAAGACCTCAAAGAAATAGGAGTTTTAACCAGACCAGATGAGAACTATTGTAACTGTCAGGAACTACAGGGCTCAAATCCCAAAGAGAAAGCAAACTCAGAGAAGTGAACTTGTTTTCCCTAGATGCCTGTTAATCAAATGGCAGCAGCTATAAGGCTGAGAAGCTGAATAGAACTTTCAATAGACTCGTGGCCTAAGGCAATAAAAAATTCGAGTTCAGGGCCTTTCAAGGAAGAAGAGTCATGGTAAAACCCCCAGACATTTGGTTGGCGCCCTGAAGAACTACACCTAGACTAGTCCTCACAGGACTGAAGCTCAGATTCAAATCATCTCAATTCCTGATTGAAATAAGCTATCTGAAACAGAAGTTTCCAGAAGCAAAGGTAAATCCTCTCTAGGGAAATATCTTACTATCCAGATCTCAAATAATCTCTATAGTTTTTCACATACAATGTCTGGTACTCAATCAAAAATAACCAGGCATGTGAGAAAACAAGATGTAACCAAAAATTAAGAACAACAACACACAACAGCAGCTGATCAACAGGGTAGCTGGATATTAGAGTTATCAGAAGCAGACTTTAAAATATGACGACTAAAAATCCACAGTGAGATAGTACTACACACTGACCAGAACAGCTTAAATTAAAAATACTGACAATTCCAAGTGTTGACTAGGAGAATAGTTTTTGTTCTTTTTCTTTGGTTAAAAGAAATACAGTAAATACAGTAAACTGTTAACATATGTTAAATCTAAATGGTAGGTACATACATATCTGTTATACTATTTTCTGTACTTTTCTGAATTTTTGTAATGTTCCATAATTAAATGTGTAAAGAAGAAGAAAAAAGTACAGCTAAACAGAGACTAGCAAGGGCTTAATTATTTCAGCCTTCAGAAGTCACATTCAAGAGTTTGTACCTTAATTTTATTTATTTATTTATTTTTTGCTGAGGAAGATTCACTCTGAGCTAACATCCACTGCCAATCCTCCTCTTTTTGTATGTGATCCACTGCCACAGCATGGCCACTAACAGATGAGTGTAGGTCCACACCCGGGAACTGAATCTGGGCTGTGGATGTGGACCGCAGCGAACTTAACCAGTAGGCCTCCAGGGCTGGCCCTGTACTTTATGCTTTAGACGACAAGAAGCCACTGACAGATTTTTTTTTTTTTTTTTTTTTG